ATATATTATTACATAAATTAATATTAATATTATATGATATATATATATATATATATATATTCTTTTATATTTTATAAGTTAATATTTTATATTATATATGTTATAATTGGTATATATATATATTTCGCTTTTTTGCATATAATATATGACATGTAATGTAAATAGAGAGAAAAGAGAGCTTAACCCATTCTGTCTACCCGGTCCTTGAGGTTTTGATACAAGACTTTAGAAATATATTTATTATGTTTGATTTTGTAAAATAAATTGCATAAGCACCTAATATACCTTAAACCTGTTTATTCTCACCAATAATTAAAAAATACATTAATAATAATTAAGGATATAATATTATAAGGATATCTAATTTTGTATTCATGCTATAAATTAATAATAAAATTAAAATAGACATTAATTATCAAAATATCGATAAAAATGGAATTGAGAGAGTACTAAATTTTGTATAATTTTTTTATACAATAAAAAACTGAATTTGATTTTTTTAAATAAGGTTTTATGTTTGAAGTTTTAAATGAAAAAAGTGTAACTAAAAGAAAAGATCTCCTTAAAAATTTTATATTAATAATCAAAACAATTGATAAATACCTATAAATTGTTTTTGATATATATATATAAACCATTAATTATCAAGCCTAGAGTATGTTAGATGCAAGTTAGTTTATTAAAAAAAGTGCTTTTAAGAAATTGCGATTGAGTTTTATCGGTGAAAATTTTCAAAAAGCTTTTCTAAAGATATATATATATGTATATATATATATATATATTCATTAACACCTAGTAATATAAACACAACCGAATGGTATGCTCGGCCGAAGGGGGGTTAAATTCATGTTTGTCGCGGATTAATGCTTGGTGTGAGTTCGGCTCAGGAGTTCTCCGCCTAGGCATGCTAGGCCTCGAAATACTAGAGTACGTGCGAGTGCTCGGCTTGAGAGTGTTCGGCCGAAGTGTGCTCGGCCTCGGAGTCAGATCATGCGATTTGATACGCGGAAGTGTATTTGATCCACGAGAGTGCTCGACTTGAGAGTGTTCGGTCGAAGCGTGCTCGGCCTCCGAGTCGAATCACGCGATTTGATACGCGGTGTATTTAATCGGCGAGAGTGCTCGGCTTGAGCGTGTTCGGCCTAAGTGTGTGTTGGGTCACGTGATTTGATGCGCGAAGTGTGTTGGAGCACGCGAGAGTGCTCGTCTTGAGAGTGTTCAGCCGAAGCGTGCTCGGCCTCGGAGTCGGATCATGCGATTTGATACGCGAAGTGTATTTGATCCGCGAGAGTGCTCGGCTCGAGCGTGTTCGGCCGAAGCATGGTCGTCCCCAGAATGTTGGGTCACGTGATTTGATGCGCGAAGTGTGTTGGAGCACGCGAGAGTGCTCGTCTTGAGAGTGTTCGGCCGAAGCGTGCTCGGCCTCGGAGTCGGATCATGCGATTTGATACGCGAAGCGTATTTGATCCGTGAGAGTGCTCGGCTCGAGCGTGTTCGGTCGAAGCGTGGTCGACCCCAGAATGTTTGGTCACGTGATTTGATGCGCGAAGTGTGTTGGAGCACGCGAGAGTGCTCGTCTTGAGAGTGTTCGGCCGAAGCGTGCTCGGCCTCGGAGTCGGATCATGCGATTTGATATGCGATGTATTTGATCCGCGAGAGTGCTCGGCTTGAGCGTGTTCGGCCGAAGCATGCTCGGCCTTGGAGTCGGATCATGCGATTTGATTTGCGATGTATTTGATCCGCGAGAGTGCTTGGCTTGAGCGTGTTCGGCCGAAGCATGCTCGGCCTCGGAGTCGGATCATGGGATTTGATGCGCGAAGTGTGTTGGAGCACGCGAGAGTGCTTGTCTTGAGAGTGTTCGGTCGAAGCGTGCTCGGCCTCGGCGCGTGTCGTAGTGCTCGGCCTAGGTACATCCTTAGCCGAGGAGGGTACTCGGGAGGGAAACCTGTCGGGCTCGAATGTACGTTTTGAGTGATCGGCCGAGGATTGCTCGGCGTCGGCGCATGTTCGTGCGTAGTGCTCGGCCTAGGTACATCCTTAGCCGAGGAGGGTACTCGGGAGGGAAACCTGTCGGGCTCGAGCGCACTTTTTGAGTGATCG